AAGAGGGTCTGGATATTCTCTAAACGAAGGAACTTCTAAAGAAAGTGTTAATTTCTCTTGATACATCGTTTTTATGTTTAACACCCTCAGTAGATTGCTCAACTTTTTCGCAAGCTGACAGGAAGGGAGCTGAGGAACCGGGTAGAATTGTCCAGTTGTCTATCCCGCACCTGACAGCAATTGGTATGTAATTGTCTACTAATCCTAATGGATAATTGTTTTCAAACAGTATATGCCTCAATCTACCAGTCTCCTGGTCCCTATGGTTTGCGTCTGCTAGACGCAGACTCCTTATTATCATTGACTTCATAACTCCTTTTTTACTTTATATGTACGTTTGGAGAAGAAATTAATTAGGAAACCCGCGTGAGTGTGTTTCTACATAACTTATTACCTTCTTTGCTCATTAATACTTCCAAAAAAGGCAATTTATTTTCCTCCTCTAACTCCATGGCAAACTTAGTATTTGCATCAATTCTATTTATTAGCTCAAGGAATTCTCCCAAACTATCTTTGTTGTGTTGCCAAACAGCAAAGTAATCGTGCATATAGCGAATTAATAATTTGCGAAGTAGGAGCGTTTCTTGAAATGATTAAATAAATAAAATAAAATAATTAAATAAATAAACTCCTAATTGGGACATGTAGTTATTCGCTAAAATATGGGCTAGACAAGACCCCATAGCCAAACCCCGTATCTACTCATACAACTTACCATTGAAGGTAAAATATGTATTTATTCATTGCCAAATTGAACCTTTGCTTAACTGGTAACCTGATATGATTTTAGGTTGCTGATATGGAGCCAATTCTAACGCCTTCATTGACTCATTTATCGGAATGTTGGTGTACATCATCGAAACTTACCAGTAAATCTCCTCTTTCTATCGTTTGATCATCACTCAAACTAATAAAGTCGTAGGAGTATTTTAGTCAAAACTTCCAAGTTTCGCAGATTTGCTTTAACTAAGTATACATAAATAGTGATGTCTTGTGCATCCCACTACCTTTATTATTTAAAATAATCCTAAATAGGGTACCTTGTAGATACGATAAATCTCGTGAGATAACATTGTTATGAGGACTTTCATTTTGTATGAAAGTGAATGAAGAAGAGATTCGTTGGTTGATCTCACCAGATGAGGACGGATAAATCTCGTTGTGCTGCAGCCGTTTGGCTTTCATACGACATTCATGCTGACACAGTCGACAAGACTTCCTCCCTCGTTTCTGGTAAAAACTGGCTGAGCTTTCGTCCATCATTTGATGGACATCATCAGAGCTGGGTGTCGTTCTTGTAAGTCTCACATTAACAATAAAGCAAGAACACTATCCGTCTCTATCTTACTTCTTATATAGACTCAATTGAGCCAAAAGAAAATTAAAAACCTAAATAGAACGAGATAGAGTGGTTTGGCTAATCATCTTTCATACTGGTCCTGCTATTTTTGCTCGAGTGTATGTGTATGTTTATGTGTATGTATGCAATACCGGTCCTAAATCAGAGTTGTCCAGCTTTTAATCTCAGATTCTAATCCTCAAGACGCACACATACACATACGCATACACTCGAGCAAAAGTAACAGGACCAGTATGAAAGATAATTAGCTAAACCACTCTATTTCGATCTATCTATGTTTTTACTTTTATTTGGCTCAATTGAGTCTACATAAGAAGTAAGATAGAGCCAGATAGTCTTCTTGATCAAGTGTTAACGTGAGACCTTTACAAGAATGACACCCAGCTCTGATGATGTCCATCGAATGATGGACGAAAACTCAGCACGTTTTCACCCGAAACGAGGGAAGAAGTCTCGTGGACTGCGTCAACATGAACGCCAAACTGCTGCATCGCAACAGGATTCATCCGTCCTCATCGGGTGGGATCGACCAACGAGTCTCTTATTCATTCACTTTCATACAAAACAAAAGTCCCCCTAACAATGGAGTACTTTGCTTATGGATTTTGGGCAGACCATATGCGTTTGGGGAAAATAAATTGCCTTTTTTAGATATATTAGTGAGCAACGAAGGTAGGAAGTTTGGTAGAGACGTATATAGGAAACCCCCACACACGGGTTTGCTCATTAATTACCTCTCCAAGCATACATAGAGTCAAAATAGGAGTTATTTATGCTATGATAATAAGGAGTCTACGTCTAGCAGACG